GATGAACGTTACCATGGAAACCAGCTGTCTAGAACGTCAACAGCGTCCTATTTCACCATGTCTTACTTGGCCATCGGAGGATCCCAGGGGTGCGTAGAAGATCACCATCACTTACAGCTTCGACCAAGCTCAGTGGAATTATCAGAAGAATGTCAAACTATATCACCTAACGCCTCTAGTACTTCTGCGGAGAAGCAGCGAATGTCTGTGTTTTCATCAAAACTATCCCGTGTTTATTCGTACTGAAATCTCTGGAGTGAAGGCCGTTAGAGTCACATTTATCCTATGATAGTTTTAGTGGTGTAGTCGTACAGAGGGCAACCTAGCAGGTCTGCTCGTAGAGTGATATGGTTGTGGAAACTGACTGGATTAATTCTTACGTACCTGGCCACTACAGGGGGGTCAAGATAACGCACCTGGGGGACGAAGGGGTGCCAGTTACCTTCAAACACCTGGAAATAAGACAAGTAAACTGTAGGGATAGCACCAAGAACGCTGTAGATCTGACGTCACAAGTACAGATGCAGATTACCCCTGCTAGTGGAAGGAGTCTTAAGAACGCTGAAATATTTTCATCAGTGTTCATATCAGACTTCAATATTGTATCTTTTCCACCTACCGAAGGCTTCAGTCTACTGTGGTGTAGTCGTCTTTTATTTTCTAGACAAATTTGTAGAGGAATCATAAAATAAGGTAACCGCTTGTCCGGAGCAAAACTGTTTGCACATTGTATAATATAGAGGAGATCGGGGCTCGTTGGTCCCCGGAGTTATTTGGAAAAAGTACCTTCGAGTTACAAAAATTGATCTTATAATTTTGTACAGGGAGCATATAACACAGTGTTAAAAATTTAAACGTCCATGGAAAAAATTACTTGAGCGTTGAGTCCAAATTGAAGGTTTGAATAAGAAATGTCTAAAGGCTGTAATCCTTAAAAATTAAATGTGTGCACCTGGCCATGGGGTAGTTAGACCACTTGGCTCGGGGCAAGATGGACCCTGTGCCTTGTTATGATTGCTCAATCCAAATTCAAAATATTGAAGGGAACCTTCAGCAACATCAATATTTTTGGACTACAAATTAAGCAAAGATTCTCAAAATCAATTAAATATGAATAATTGCGTAAAAATACATTTCTGATACATTATTTAAGTGTATGGTGCCACCTTGCTCCGACCCTGGGGCCACGTGGCTCACAATTTGACAAAAAACTCATTCCAGGTGGGCCAACTAGCCCCGGTCTCCCCTAGCCTCAATACGTTATTTACGGGGACTACCACATTTTACTCTTGGGTCTAAGAAAATAAAAATTGTATCAAAGTAAAGACCAGCTATTGGGCTGAAGTTCTTGCTGAATAAACCCAGCGCCAGACTGGACAGACGCACCACTTCCTGACCGTGGCTCCCTCTATACACGCTCAAGTTGTTCACGTCGTTGCCATAGTAGATACGATAAGCGTTGACAAACTGGTATTCTGCCATACTACTTCCCCAGCCTTCTCTGCCCATAGTGATAACACTAGTGATCTGAAGTGAAATAGACACATCTCATGTAGTGGGTGATGTCTGCCCAGAGTGATAACACTGGTGATCTGAAGTGAAATAGACACATCTCGTGTAGTGGGTGATGTCTGCCCAGAGTGATAGCACTGGTGATCTGAAGTAAAATAGACACATCTCATGTAGTGGGTGATG